GTGTGTGTGTGTGTGTGTGTGTGTGTGTGTGTGTGTAGGACCGGCTGGCCTCTCTGGGTATTTCCTATGTTCTGAGTGTGAGTCGCAGCAGCCCCCAGCCTTCCTTCTTGCCCTGCTCCAGATACCTCCGGATCCCCATCGATGACTCCCTGTGGGATGACCTGCTGCCATGGATCCCACAGGCTCTGCATTTCATAGGTCAGGACCCCCAATTCCTCCTCTCTTCCCTCTTCCTCCTCCCCTCTTGCAGTTTTACTGCAGTTTGATTGRCCCACCTACCAGCAGTGTAAACAAGAGTCTGAATACTGAGCACTGAACAACAGCTGAAGTTTGTTGACCCCGATACTCAAATTTAAAATGAGCAAAAATAAAGCTAAAAGGTAAAACCGGTAAAACAGTTGTTGAAAGCTAAAAACAAAGTATATAATAAAAAGATTTCCAAGAGTACCAGGTTTATTAAGGATTGAAGAGATTTAAGTATATTAATGTAGATAAAGTTAAATAGTTCAAAAAGTACAGTAGTTACTCAAAACAAAGTTTTAATGTCCACAAGGAGCTGAATGTTTAGAGAACAGAATGTATGATAAAGTTTACAGTTCAACAATCCTTTGGTAAAAGCTATGATCAGTGTAACAGTGAATGCTGACTCAGCATTCAGACAACACATGAATCAGAATCTCTGTGTCTGTCTGTGTGTTTGTTCAGATACAGCCATGTCTTCAGGAGCCTCTGTGTTGGTGCACTGTGCAGCAGGAATTTCTCGCTCGCCGGCGCTGGCAGTGGCCTACATCATGTACAACCTAGAAATGGACCTGGACCATGCCTACAAGTAGGTTTCACCTTCATCATCACTACATCGCTGTTACATCATTGTTATATCACTGCTACATCTCTGTTACATCATGGCTACATCACAGTTACATCACATCAACATCACTGTCACATCACTGCTACATATCTGTTACATCACTGCTACATCATGGCTACATCACAGTTACATCACTTCTACATATCTGTTACACCGTGGCTACATCAGTTACATCACTTCAAGATCAATGTTACATCACTTATACATCACTGTTACATCTCTGTTACATCACTGCTACATCATGGCTACAGTTACATCACTTCAACATCACTGCTACATCTCTGTTACATTGCTGCTACATCATGGCTACACCAGATTTGCATCACTGCTACATGCATCACTGCTACATCCTACATCACAGTTACATCACTTCAACATCACTGTTACATCTCTGTTACAACACCGATACATCACTGTTACATCACTTCAACATCACTGCTACATCTCTGTTACATCTACTTCATGGCTACACCACAGTTGCATCACTGCTACATCATGGCTACATCACAGTTACATCACTTCAACATCACTGTTACATCTCTATTATAATACTGATACATCACNATTACATCACTTCAACATCACTGTTACATCTCTATTATAATACTGATACATCACTATTGCATCACAGCAACATCACTGCTACATCACAGTTACCTCACTGCTACATCTCTGTTACAACACTGATACATCACTGTTACATCACTTCAACATCATGGCTACACCACAGTTGCATCACTGCTACATCATGGCTACATCAGTTACATCACTTCAACATCACTGCTACATCACTGCTACATCATGGCTACATCACAGCAACATCACAGTTACCTCACTGCTACATCTCTGTTACACCATTGCAACATCACTGCTACATCTCTGTTACATCACTGATACATCACTGCTACATCACTGCTTCATCACGGCTACATCACAGTTACATCACTTCAGCATCACTGTTACATCACTGTCACACCACGGCTACATTACAGTTACATCACTGCTTCATCATGGCTACATCACTGTCACATCACTGCTACATCTCTGTTACATCACTGCTACATCTCTGTTACATCATTGCTACATCACAGTTATATCACTTCAAGCATCACTGTTAATCATCCAAGCAACATCACTGCTACATCTCTGTTACATCACAGTTACATCACTTCAACATCAGTGTTACATCACTGTCACACCACGGCTTCATCACAGTTACATCACTTCAACATTTCTGTTACATCATTGTTACATCACGGCTACATCCCAGTTACATCACGGCTACATCCCAGTTACATCACTTCAACATCTCTGTTACATCACAGTTACATCACAGCTACATCACAGTTACATCACTTCAACATCTCTGTTACATCACAGTTACATCACTTCAACATCTCTGTTGCATCACTGTTACATCACTGCTACAACACGGCTACATCACTGTTACATCATCGCAACATCACTGCTGTATCTCTGTTACATCATTGCAACATCACTGTTACATCACTGCTACATCACCTCTACATCACAGTTACATCACTGCTACATCAGTTACATCACTGCTACATCACTGTTATATCGCTGCTACATTGCTGTTACATCATTGTTACATCCCTGCTAAATCACTGTTATATCACTAGATTGCTGTTACATCACTGTTACATCAGAGTTACATCACTGCTACATCACTGTTACATCACTGTTCTATCACTGCAACATTACTGCTACAATGCTGTTACAACACTGTCATATCCCTACTAAATCACTGTTATAACACTAGATTGCTTTTACATTGCTGTTACATCACTTTTACATCCCTGCTACATCAGTTACATCTCTAGACTGCTGTTACATTACTGTTACATCACTTTTACATCCCTGCTACATCAGTTACATCTCTAGACTGCTGTTACATTACTGCTACATCACTGTTACATCCCTGCTACATCAATGCTACATTATTAATATACCACTGTTACATCACTATTATATCAGTGTTACATCGCTGTTACATTGTTGTTACATCACTGTTTCATCACTGCTACATTGCTATTATTTCACAGTTATATCCCTATTGTATCAATGTTACCTCACTGTTACATCCCTTCTATGTCACTGATACATATAAGATGCACCACTACATTTCTATTACATTATTGTTACATCATTGCTACATCACTGCTTCATCGCTGTTATATCATTGCTTCATCCCTATTACATCACTGTCACTAGGTAAAAGCTAAAATGCTGCAATTCACTATTAACATTGCTTCCACACAGTATATAACTACCTCTTCATGTTTACTTCAAAACGTTTTCACTTTACATCTTCAGCTCAATGGGGAACAGTGCTTCAACTTTTAATATTTGTAACTTTAATTTTATTTTTCAAACAAAGTTAGCTTTATTTAAAAAAACTTTTGCCCATAAAATTAAATTAAAATCTCTTCAGATCCTTTGAAAAAAAATTGTCTTTGAAATCCGCTTTATCTTACCTGGTCCCTTTTTGTATTTTTATATKTCTTTTGGCGGCTTTTATCTTCTCTGTTTTGTTTATTTAGGCTGCTGTTATATATTTAACCATTTGTTCTTAATAAATGTCAGCAGTAGGKGTGGGTGTCAGTCACCCCCACTGTCTTAGATCCTGTTTACATAAGACCAGTCTCTGGTTGATGCTGGTGTTTTTTAAATAATTATTGGGGCAAATAAACAAAAAAAAAAATTTGTCCATTTAAAATGAACCACTGTAGTAATGGGCCCAGCTTGGCCCATTACTGCCGTGAAAACTTTAGCTGTTGTWTCCTGTGTGCCAGCATGTGTACATATGCGCTTTCTCACTTGTGGAGTACTTCCCACTTCCACTGGGGTGTGTTACCAAAAACTCCCACTCTAAGATCTGGTTTCAAAAAGTGCCAGAGACTCCKATCACCACTGGTGTTTGAGCTTTGCTGTAATGACTTGTCAGACGAAGACATCCCTGCTGTAAACAAGTGGGCCGATCACAACAAAAATGTTGTGGTTTCACTGAAAGCCTGCTCTATGTGAACAGGGCCTTCGTGTTCTCAGGTATTTTTCTGTTGTGAGTAGATGTGAGTCACTGAATGGACTGTGGTACTCCAGTGGTGCTGACCCACATCTTTTCTGTGTCCTGCTAAGGTTTGTGAAAGAGCGCCGGCCCTCCATTTCCCCAAACTTCAACTTCCTCGGTCAGCTGCAGCAATTTCAGGGGACATTGAGTCAGAAGACGTCTGGTTGGGATGTCTTCTCTCAGCAGCAGGACAAACACCGTCCATCTGACATGTCACACACTGAGGACACAACACCGCAGACAGACTCCCCGTCACATGAGAGCCAGAACATGTGTTCAAACCAGCGGTGCAGCCAGAAACCAGCTGCTGTCCCCTGTGAGTCCTCCACACCTGCAGCAAAACTCACACAACTACAACCCTCAGCAGGTTCGGCTTCTCTGCTGGAGAAACGCAAAAGCCTCACTCTCTCTTTGACGCCCTTGGGATTGAGCCCCCCCTCCTCAAAGAGCCGACAGTTAGGAGGAAGTCCTGCACCGACCACTGTCTCCGTKCTCAGCTGGGACACAAGAGGACAACCCAAGACAAAGACACAGAGCAGCAGCGCCCCCTGCAGGCCAGCASAGGTGCCGCACAGGGAGCAGGGCCTGCTGTCTCCTATCAGTGTCACGCTGAACAAACTTTTAGACTGGGGGGAGAGGGTCCTGCTGGGGGGAGTGTTTGTCCATCCGGTGAAGGTGGGACAGCCGGTGCTGCCATACAGGTGCTGAGAGATGGGGGAGGGGCTGTCTTCTGTCTGTGCATGTTTGTCCAAAC